GAGCACACGTCAGAGGTCACACTGAGCCCCTTGCTAGGGAGCGCACGTCAGCAGCCACGCTGAGCTCCCAGCGCCTGCCACGCCTGCCTGGGGAGCGACGTCAGAGGTCCCACTGAGCCCCCAGCTAGGGAGCAAGAGACAAACTGCTTCTCAACACTACCAAGCCATTATAATTGTACACCCCACGGAGCTGCTAACACACTCAACGAAACCCGTGAAAGGACTCAAGCGGCGTGGCGAGCAAGACCATAACAGATATGCGAATTGCCGGTTGTCATCACGTAGATATATAAAAAACTACGCTAACCAAGCTAGAAATCTTGACTAACCAGCACCATGGATTCAGTCAATACCTATGAAAATACCTTTAACGAGGACTTGTCGGGCGGCGTCAACCGATGTGGCATTCGGGTGCTAATTCGTGGTTAACACGGCTTGCAAGCCGTCCGGCGATAACCCCGGTCAGGTTTTGCAATTTTGTTGTCCATTTGCACTCGTCCACGAAATTGATTCATTTGCAATGATTTACGGTTTTGACGGTCGCGGGCCAAGTATTTCGTAGAATGCGACAATTTTGGGTGAATATTGAGCACGGTAAACACGTATAGCCTTGAAGATCCAACCAATCAATATAAATAAGCCACGGGCCTTACATTCGAGGTGGGTTTCGGTGACACTGGCGGCTCTCCAGCTGACCACTGGCACACTTATGTGTACCGCAGTTTTGACATCGCTTATGCGTTGGGGTCGGTACATTCGCCAACACCATTCGGTGGCATATCTTTAGCTGCTCTGGTTGAAAGGTATGACACCAATTCTTCCAAAAAAAAAAAACGTTCATAAACGGACGGCTCCATTGTTGTACCCAATAGCGCGTGCTGATATGCAAACCTTGACCAACATTTTTTCCGGTACGATTGTCTGTTTGCTCGTATATCGATATTATCCCGTGTCGCTGCGAAGACGGCTCCTCGAAATCTGAACCAGGTTCCGACCCGTGTTCTCCAGCTTTTTCACAAACAGAAGCGGGCATCGGACCACACACACGCAATGGCATCAGCACAAACTTCCGTCAAGTTAATGGATCAATCATATAACATCCCTGCGCATTGTATCCATTACGTGCCAAGCCAACATACCATCTGACGACACATTCAATGACGTCACAGTAGCTCCGGCCAGGGTTTGATGACGTTGATGACGCTAGCATACATCCCCTAGCAACGGTTCTCTAATCATATCATTACTTCGGTGTGCCACCTGTCGCACTGAGTGATGTCACAACACGTCACAGTTGTGATCATGTCCTAATAACTGTTTATTCCGTTATCAGTTGTTCTGCCCTTCCGGTCCGTGTCCGTTATTGCACTCTGTGCCGGCTAGGTGGCGGCGCCGCGCCTTCCGTCGCGTCTGCTGTGACGTCACCGTACCTTCTGTCGCGTCCGATGACGTCAAGAACACCGAGCGGCGGCAGATTCTCGGGCCGGCAGGGACCATGCGCCACCTGCTGAGTCAGCGCCACAAACTGAAGCTTGTTGTCGTACGTCTGCTGGATCACTTTGCCTTCCTTCTCTGAAAATTACCATTGGAAGCCTGTCTAGATGTATGTAAGACAGTAGCAAAAGCACTATTCCTCTAATAGCCTTATTCCTATTACTACCGTCTTATCTATGTGAATAATGTTCCTCGCAAGGGCAATTAACAACTTATTTATATAGATGTAGTTACATTGCGCAAATGTAACCCCACCTTTGTCTGGATATCCTCATATCATGGTACAAAAACCATGAAGTGACACAACATCTCTAGCTAGCATAGCCACTGGCCAAGCATGACAAGGCAGAATCTGGTTAGGAAACTTCTTGCAATTGACGTGGACTTGACATATCCCCGTTTGCACGCAGACTGTGCTATCAGCAATGCTCACCTTTGTAAAACTTCACTGCAAGCTGATAAAGATGCGGAAGTTGGAGTCCCCACTTTTCTGCGGTACCATTGCTGACATTGTCCTGTAGAGTCATGGACTGGACCGCTTGCGCCGCTTCTTTGACGTCATCAGATGCCATAATTCCTCAATAGTGAGGGGCAGCTGAGACACACCTGTGGAGCAGCACACCCATGAGTCTCCCCCAGCACTTGATACACCTAGCTGCAAAGGGCACACCAGGGGTCACACCCCTCAGTGGATGGCCGCCCATAGGACGCCAGGGCGCCTTTCGTTTACGAACGTGCCAGAGTTAAGGCACGTATACTCGTAGGTTGAAAACCTCAATTTAGCAAGAAATTGGAACCCACTGGCCTCAAACCCCCAAACTTCCACAACTTTAACTTTAAACTTGAACCCTCAACACTTTACAGGGCAACATGTTAGCACATGCCATATGGACATAGTACAGAAAATGTGACAACACAAAAACAGGTGTGATGTCACAGACAGCCTGATAGAGCCTGGTGATCTATCAGGGAGCATTAACTGAACTGAAAACACAATATTATGCTTTTGCCCTGAGTTTCACTTAGGGTTCTGAGGGTTTTGATCAGGAGAATGCTGCCAAGACCTGGTGTGAGCAGGCTGTTGGGACCAGGGACAAATGTGCTCAGGCCAAGGAACTGTTCAAATAATCATTGAGCCATTCACTGCCCCTAGCATATATGTACATTAAATGGAACCAGCAGATATCAATGTGACCACTGTCACACTCGCCTCACTACAACTTCCATCCATGGTCTCTTGTACCTTACCAAGGTACTTGGCTGAAGCACCCACAGCTGCCAAAGCCAACAAATGTCATCTTCTGACCACTCTGAGCTCTTTAAACTACTTTGTAGCTCAAACCCCTGCTGTATAATGGGTTCACACACACTTCTTTTTTTAAAAGGCTGTGCTATATTAAGAAAACATATACATATAATGTAAACAAACAAATACATATGAAACCATAGATATAAATATGAAAAACACATGGGGTATGATCAGTGTGACATCCAGAGCACACACTCACACTGAAACCACAGAGTGAGTGGCCATTGCATAACAATAATAACACAGCTAATCCAAATGATGGCTCATTCACCATGGATATTACAAATAAAGTTATACATACTTTGTTCCATCCAAAACAGAAAAATTGTGAATTTACAGCAGTATGATACAAAGCAGAACATGAAACTGAGATCTTGAGAAAAAAAAGCTAGTTTCTGATAACACCGAGGACATTGGCAGTTTTAACTACTCTGCAGGCGATAACATCCACAAAATCCCCAGGCATTGAAGGATATCATGAATGAAATCATGCATTTTACAGCTTGGTACCACATACAATGAATGCATACCAGGCATTATACTGACTCAACCCAGCCTTACCCATTGTCAGGGGTCCCAGACATAGTTTGCTCTCCAGTTGGGAGAGGGGGCAATGGGCGGGGGGCTTCACCCCCAGGGAAACTTTAAGAAGTGGGTGAAATGCAGAAATAACCCAGTTTTTATCATTTAGGTAGGCTAAGCTACTTTTTCTTACCCAACCCTAGAACTTATTTGGTGAAACTACATCCCCACGCAATGTGTTGCAATGCTTGCAGCCATAGTGATCCTTTCCAGTCACATTAGATCCTACCAGGCAAGGTGAATACCACCCACAGTGGGAAATCCAAATCATGATCAATCAAATCACATCCAAATTATGAATGACACCCTACAACATGGCACAGCTTGCAAGAAAAAATACACCACATGCTTCCACACCACATCCTAGCACATGCCAGCATTTTGACAACTCTTTATGACGTTTTGTGAATTTCTCCATACGTGCATTAAAAAGCTGGCAGAAAACAATAGGGCCTCTAAGAACATGAACCTTAGGTCCACCATGAGACACAGGTACAGCCAGGTAAGATGAATTCCTCCTTGAAAAACAAATTTGCAAAGTAAACACTCTAGAATGGCCCGTGTTACCACCTGACATTATGCCTGACATTTAGATGATGAATGAAAATAGCAGAAGAGGATGGTCAGAATAACCTTAGCAAACACTGCCTACAAAGTTTGATCTGATGAATAAGGCTTCCAAATGGTTAAGTAGCCTGTCAAATCAAGTTGGGACAGTGACATTCTGCAAAAAAAAACTATCAAAACTTATTATTACTCAAAACACTGGCCTTCAAAATTATGCAATCGATGTCAATAAAGCAAAATCTCGCTCATAGCTCTGGCATTTAGGTGCATGCTTTGCAATTTTTGAAGGCGTGTTACCACTACCCTGGACATGCAGAGCACGGCTTGTATTTTTAGTCTGGTCTGCCGTCATATTGCAACGCCTCCAATGTTTCACCGGTTCGGCCGCCCACGGGCGTAGCCGGTTTCAATAGCGTAACCGCATCACAAAACGGATAAAACTACATTATGGCCCTTTCCCACCACCACCACCTTGGTCACATTTATCACACTTCCCTACCTGCGCACCACCGACCTCACCCCGCTCGCCCACAAACCGGAGCCTCCGATGTTTTTAAGCGACTTTTAGTGATTTGCCACGTTGACTTCCCTATTTGTTTGCCTTTCCTTAGTGCTGCTCGATGTGACGCAGAAGAAGTGGACGATACAGTTCAGCTACCATATCTAGCCATGGTGGAAAATTTGGGGCACAGAAACTGTCCGGAGTACCATTTGCTCTACATGAGAATTCGCCCTTGCAAATACAACTGTTTCAGAAAGGAGTGAGAAGACAGTATGGTATGAGGAGGCAACCATCACCCACCGACTTTTCGAAATCGAGGACCACCCACGGCGCTCCATGTGAAGAAATGCAATAAGTCCAATTTCTTTTAGAGGCAAAACATAAGTATTTTTACGGCAGGTGCCATCATGGAGTGACGAGTGTGGACGCGCAGTAACGCCACACTGGCAAAAGAGTCCCGCGGTTAAGGTCGACAAAGCGTCCAGAATCATTCGTCAGTGCAAAAAAATCTGCACAATCCTTAAAAACGTAGCAATGACAAAACAGTGGGATCCACAGCTTTATAATATAGTTTCAGCGGGCGCAGACGTACAATTACAGTACAGTGACCAATAAGCCACACGACGTAACACATACGTTCCACACGCTCGCCACCGTGTTACAATCATGTGCCACGCAGAACATCGCTATCACAGTAACGCGCCATAATCCCGCATAGCTTTCGCCAAACGGACGAATGATGACATCACATACATCACGGGGGCGCACCACACTCAAAACGGTTTTCCTTCCCGCGGACACATACAGCCGTACTGCACTGCACTGCGCAACCGTGCGGACGACACGTGCGCAACGTGAACGCGTGCGCATCGCAACCAACTGATGCGCACATTACATTGCACGTGGTAAAGGAATGACGAGCCTTGTGTCATTCCGTGCATGCCATTCAGGAATCACAAATTGTCCTGAGGTTTGGTCTAGACCAAGAGCGCGCACTGAGGCACCTGATGCAAACCAACAAGCTTAAGCAATCACTTCGAAAATCATCCGTCGAACAGCAGCACGCACACCGCATTTTAAAATATACATCTGGCGCCGACGAAAACCCTTGACAACATCCCTGTCCCACGGGTACTCGGGATACAAGAATTCTGACATCCCAGTCTATGTCAGCTTGCCTCTCACAAACGCTCAACGCCGTGTGTGAAGAGCACTAATCGCACGCATTTCCCACTGTCGCCGCCCTGGAAGGGATGCTTATCAACGACTGACGGCGTGGGGAGCATAAGAGCAGTGTTTTGACACTATGCCCAATTCTAAATATATCTAGCATCTCCTAGAAGCACTCAGTTGACTGGGTCAGCTTTCAATGACTTCAGGAAGTCCCCAATCTTGTCCTTGTCCTTAGGGTCGATCGCCTTCTGTTTGGCGTCAGTGTACACGGCGAAGAGACGGCGATTCTTTTCATCAACGTGCATTGTCGCCATCTGGTGAGAGGATCTGAAACAACCACAGGCGGAAATGGCTGAAGACTGGAACGAGAGGAAACGGCGCCAGACAGCAGATCAAATGTAAATGGTAATGCTGGTAATGCTCAGGGAAATGGCATGTAATAATGGGAACCTTTTATGAATACTGACACCAGTCATTTACTGATGGTGAACACAAACCCCACGAAGTACAAGTTCGCGCCACCCCGTAGCGTAAGCGACATGAGTTGTACAGCTTTTAAAACCCAGACAAGCAGGAAGCAGAACACACGTGCCATGCATGCATCCACACATGCGTCTCCATACACGTGTCATAAATGCTAAATTGATAGCAAAGGCCAGCGGGCAAGGTAGGATGAAAAACAAGCCCAGCCGCCGTTTATTTTAACGTTTTTTCTCTACCCTTTCCAACGACACAGTACGCTATGACCGACGACCTGGTAGTACGTTGGGAAAATGTGTTAGGCGTGCTGATCGACTTATCATTAACTGTAAGCTCACACAACTAAAACTTGCCATTTGTGCGTTGGTCTCTTTTATACAATGATCTGAGAAGTCGAGTAAGTGACCTGATGTGTCCCATACATTACGACGATATCATAGCTTTGGTGTAATGCTGATATTATAGTATCCAAACAACCAATGCACTGCCAGAAACCACCCACAACGTGACAGAAGCGAAAACAAAGACTTAGCTGTCTCTAGAAACACACAGCCCTCAAGCTTTCATTACTGACCTAACTTGGCAGTGTCACGGTGCTGTACAACTGATCACGAATAGTACAACACCACACAAATTAGCGCACAAACAACAAACATGATAGACGTAAGACAGGGACGCGAGGACTGGCTGCCTCTAGCAGCAGTATCAAACCTTCCCTTCTGACGTCAAATTCCGTTGACCTAATTTATCACGGCGGGTTCAGATCGCCTAAAGCATTGCAGGCGGTACATTCCATCACGCCGAATAGCTAGTTTCTGGTTTTTGCCTATTCCGGTTGCCCATACCTGTTACCATCCCTTAAAAATAAAAATAGCCGGACCCATGATCTGCGCACGACTGAGCGTGACTCGCTCACATTTCAACCAATCACGTTCTCCGTATTCCGTCGGCCGGTATGACTTGGTGGCTGCGGTGGTCACTGACAGCACGTGGATAAAATGAGAGGGAACGCCGCGGAGAAAGCTGTCTTAGAATGACGAGCAAAGCGTCCGATGGGAGAATTTCGCCAAATCTGCTATCTCAACCGGAAAATCGGAGCTCTTCAGGACGAACTTAATAACTTCACTTTGCAATCACCAAAAACACACCAATAAAAGTTGGTTTAAGTTTGGACATGACTGGGTCAATCTCCAGCTTTCATCACGCCGAGCCATAACAATGTCCAACGAACGCGTCATGCCCACATGGGAGCACCCTCCATAGCACCATTCGACAGAACGGGTGCCCTTACAGTCCTGTTTTTGAAAGTGCTTTGCACATCGTTTCTGGCCACGTAGGTTTTTCATTAAGCCGGTGCTTTACTGTACAACTACTCTTCCCGGTAAATATTCCGCTGGAATACCGCCGGCTTCAACGACGGCAACCACAAACAGGCGACACCAATCGAACCCTGAACGTTCCGATGCGCCCCAGCTGACCAGTGCGTGAGCAACAACAGACGGCATCACTGGCACACTCACCTGATCGCCAGCACGTGCAGGATGATCCCGAGCGCCATGAACAACACGCAAATGAAGGCGATGGGTCCGTTCGACTGGCGCTTCAGGCCCCTAATGCCGTAATACGGTTTGTTTTCAAACTTTTCATCGCCGGCCCGGTAACGCATGCCGAATATGCTCTCGTCCCAGAATCTGGAGAAGGAAGATGGTGAGCATAAGTCGCAAAACGTACAATGACTATATCTCCTAAATGCAAGCAGAAAGATGACAAATACATCTTCAAACCAGGCCGAGTTTGACGTCATTGGGGCTTTACGACGCACCTAGCTACTGAGGTTATATGGCGTACCTCTCGAGGCTATCGAGCCCTGTGCCACCGGTTTTCCATACGCGTAGAGGTCAGGCAAAGTTTCTTGCCGTGATGATAAAACGCTGTAGACACAACCGAGGACCGTTGGACGAGAACTGCCCGGCTTCACAGCAGGAATAGCACGCACTACGTTATCGGATCACTATAGAAGCCGCACGCACTTTTGCACCAAAACACACAGCACGGCCGCTGGGCGTGAGAATCAAGGCGTTCGTCAGGGCCTTCGCGGCCGCGCTCACATTCTGTCGTGGGTCGCCGTGGTGTCGACGTCGCCGTGGCGACGCCAGACGCGGCCGTCTGGAGGCGCCACCGTCGGCGGCCGCAGCAGGCTGGCGTCGTACAGCGCTCGCGACTGCCGCCGACTCAGCGTCTGGTAGGCGTCGTTGAGCCGCACGAACTCGCTGTGGCTACCCGGGGAGACGTCCGGGTGCACCTGGTGGCGGTCGGCAGAGGATGGTGTGAGGCGAGGGACGCGCGCCGAACGCGCCGCGCGCGGCCGGACGCGGATCGCACGCTGGCTTTGGGGGATATCCTTGAACTGGCCTGGCAGTCCAGCATTTTGAATCTTCTGAGCCACATCATCAGTCACAGTCAAGTAACATGACCATATTTACTTGTTGGAAACTTTCTGAAGCTATGTTTGCAGCTTCAGCATGTCCTTCTAGAATGCTGTTATCTGAATGAAACAGTGCATTACAGACTGTGATCAAGCCAGGGCACATTCAACATATAATAGAACTGGCAAGGAAAGTGACTGGGTATCAGCAGATTTCACATGTTTAACTGTGATAAGACCTTATTTTCAAACAAGACACACACAGTCAAACAAGGAAGGAGTTTTACTATACCAAACCTTCTTTGATAACACCATGTATGCCTCTCTTATTTCCTTGGTTGAACATGTGTTTGGAAGTCCAAGAACTTGGTAATGATTCTTGCTCTCATGCCTGCAAAGACCACATGTAATGTTGAAAATTCCAAGAATCTTATCCCAAAAGTTGACAATGCAATTTACAGAGCATCATGTTATTTTTCCTCCTGTGGGGACAAAGGACTTATGGAAATTGCAGGCTTCAGGGAAATCAGAAACACTGTAAAGAAGCAATGTGTTTGACATTAATTTTCAATTGAACTGTAAAAGGCACAAGTGCAGACCAAAAGACATGAACAATACACAATACATGAGTATACCAAATGAAGTTCAACCACAGGGTTATCTATTTGAGTTATAGACTTTTGTAATTAGCCTTAACAGTAGGGGTTCAAAGTAATATCTTACCTAATAGTTTGGAGCAGACATAATCTACCTTTAAGGAGGCTGCTACAGTGCCCAATCCTGCCAATGCAGTCCATACCAATGTCTTGAGATATTTCACCTTCTGTAAATCATGGATGACAACAATTATTGATGACAAACTTATTAACATGACATATTTGCTGGATGGCTTTAATGCAAAAATACATAATCAGGTGAGATCTATTGGGGTAGATGCATGATGCAATGTTAAACATAGTATACATACTAATAATTCACATTTAAGCATCCCAATCACCATAGGGATAGGAATGGGGGTAAGCGGAGGGGTGGCAGTTAATTGGTGCCACAACATCCCCACTTTTCCATAATACCTGACAATTAGCCCTAAGGTAATGCATGGAATCAAATCTCAATTATCTCTGATATCATACTTAAAAATTATTTCAGCAATCATATGTGTGATGCATTAAAACTTGCATCTCATTTTGCTCTTGTGGGGCAAACCTTCACTTCAACCTTCAAAGCCTGAGACTAAGTAAATCCCTGATTCTAGTAACATCACCAAATTTTGAATTAATTTAGTTATAACTGAATCTGACATCCCACTCCCCAACATGATTGTTATACTTAGTTGCAGTGTCAAAATTTAAAACAAACCAAACCAAACCAAACCAAACCAAACAAACCAAACCAATGGATATACAACAATGAAAAATGATGCACATTCAGTTTTAAAGAGTACCACATACATTGTGCACTACTTTCTTCATGTACAAGATCTATCAGCTCATTGGTACTGCTCATTATTTGCATTCTTATTTGAGGCCATTCATGGCTGCTTTAAGAGAATGCCATTCATCCCTCCTTGAGTCTGCTTATTAAAACCTTTGAAAGGGATCAGTTTCAGCTTTACACAATACAAATTTAATGGATTTATGAGCAAGCTGGATTTGGAATTCCACCCCACCATTTGCTACCTTACTTGAATGAATTAAAACCTTCACTTAAGTCCTAGGAGGGAGAAACCATTTATGAGCAAGTGCGACCACAGAGTTCAAGGCTTGCCCACATCCATGCCACTGCTGCTGCCCTGAAAAAACAACCTTTACATCCTTGACTTAATAACCTCAAGCATGTGGAGAAAAATAAAAAGCCCTATGATCACAATATGAATACAACCAAACATCCAGACTTACCTATCACAAGGAAATGGCGTAGTAATTACGTGGTCATAAAGAAGTGCATCTGATGTAACAACGTTTCCAGCCTGAAACACATTACGTAACAACCGACGGTGTTCTTTACCTTTCGGCCGACAATGTTTTGCGGAGGGAAGGCCGTCAGTTTAGGTCTGTAATGAGGACCGGCTAATCAGCTGACGAAGGGTCGCTGCCAGGCCGGATACATCATCCCAATGACAAATTTTGTGCTGTTCATGACGTCACTGGTAGACATGTGAAGATTGGTCTTCTTTTACTTCTCACATCACAGGGATTCACAAGCTCTTTATGACGACAACATTGAAAACCAAGCAGGTATTCGTATTAACACGGGTCTTGCATCCTACGGATGACGTCGCTGGGACGAATAAATCAGTCATCAGTTGGGAACTTTCAGTGGGACACGTTTTTCGGCTGTGTTTTCCCGCTGCTCATGCCCTTCGAGGAAACTGTTACGGTGTACGTGCATCTGCCTATGTACTCGTGGTTTACATTATTTTGGTGATGCCATCTGAAAAAATGAAGTAAAAAAAATGAGCTGCGTTTTACCTGCTGCTCATGACGTCACGTGACACGAGTCATGGTCTTTGCTTAATATCATCGGGAACCTGATAATGGCGGAAAACCACCTTTCCTAGCAGGCTTCCTATAGCGATAGGCCATGCCCCGGGACAGTGTGTCAACATGTAAGCCGAGTGGGGCGATCATTCATGTCTGAGTGAGGAAAACAGTCACGGCTCGGGGCGGTGCGTTACCCCGTAGGCACGCCGACAGGGATGCGTCACGGTGGCGCCGGCCAGTCGCACGCAGATCATGTTGCGGGGATGACACTTGGAAGGAGTATAAAAGGTGCTGCTCGGGCGCGTAGGGTAAGTCTCCCTGTCGGCGCTGCGAGCGGCAGTTCGCCGCTGCGTGAGGGTGGTCCAGCCGAGATGTGACCCCCGAATCCACTTCCTCAAGAAACTACTACAAGAAGGTCCAAGTGATCCATGAACAAACCGCATTCAGACATGTCCACGCTGAGTTGCCAATGGGGCCGGAGAAAGGCATGATCTGACTCAACGTTTTCGGCCACCGGCATTATCTGTCTTTAACAAACATTCCAAAACAGTGTCAATCGGTGCAACCACTGGTGGCCACCATTTTGACACGATTTAGATGGCAATCGTTCCTCCCAGTCTTGAAGCGCGGGTTCCGTGAGCGTCATGGCACCCTCACCATTAGACACTTTCTGAGAATGTATGCAGAGCATTGGCATTATGGCAACGGATGGGAAGAATCGACTACAATAAGACTACGAGTACACTCACTTTCTGAGGCGTTCAGCCGTCTATGTTTCGGGTGCCAACGCCAGACCCTGTATTACATTTGCAGGCCAACTCTACAACTTACCTTCTGGTATAATATGGCCGTTGATCGGCATAATCGTACTTTTTACCTTTCGGCCGTCAGCGTTATCCACCCATTTCAAACGTGCCAATATAGTTTCAATCGATGCAACCGCTAGCAGCACCATTTTAAGAATGTGCACATACTTTCCTTCATGTCGTGGAGAATATGACCTTACTATTCCTGAACACGATGTCGTTCGAGTAAGTCAGTCCGGAATTACCAAAAGAGTCGTTCATAGGCATAAGCGGGCTCTTTGCATTTCGGCCGCCAGCATTATCTGATCATTTCAGATGTCAGTACATTTTCCATCGGTGCAATCATCGGCGGATGCCTTTTTAAAAGTGTATATAAGCAATCAAAATGCGAAATCCTCGCAGATTTCTACTGCACACCACCGCGGCCTATGTGGCACATATACACAGCGTACATTAAGGCCGACACAGTGACCTACTCGCCTGCGAGCATGAACAACTGTTATTTTGCAGCTATAGGATATACCTCCCATGAAGCGTATTTATGTGACAAATAAAGGACAATGGTTGCACATGGCGAAGCAGAGGAATTAAGATATCCTATGGAAATGTGCCTGTGGCTCCTAGGCCGAGGAAGGTTCAAGTGCAACAGCATCCCCCCTTTCTGAGAATGTGGAGCATTAAACTTATGGAATTCGATGGGAAGAATCGCCAACAATATGACTAGGGGCGCCCTCCTCCCTTTCTGAAACGCTCCTCCGTGTATGTTACGGGTGCCAGCGGCAGACCTTTTATCACTTTTGCAGCCAAACTCTTCAACTTACCTTACGGCCGCCTGCTTTGAAATCTCCAGTTGAACTGCATGAAATGGCTTTGCTGCATTTGGAAACTACTGCAAGGCGCTCCAAATGATTCCTGAGCATAATGCCACTAACGTGGCCTGGCCTCTGGGATCCATTTTAAGCTATCGACATGGCTGGGGCCTGCGATTTACATTGACTGGGGCCCCTTAAGTCAACTAGCGGCCTACTGTGTCGGCCAGGGACTCACCGTGACGTGCAGTTGAACCCCATTTAGTGATATAGACATAAAGCCGCATGCACACATTGTTGCAGGCTCGCGTGCGATTAGCTGCTGCACCGGCCTCAATACACGCTGTCGTTTTGTGTCTCATAAGCCGTGGCGCTCCCCGGCAATAATCGGCCGAGGCTAGAATGTTGTTATTGTCCTGACCGCGATGCTCGAATATCACATCAGCACATGTTTCATGGTGTCTGCACATAGGCGCATGCACAGCTTGTTTCAGTCTCGCGTGCGGTTACATATTGCGTCGGCTTTAAAGCATGTTGTTGCGATGTGCGCAGTAGGTCGTGGTGCTCCCCGGGAACGACCTGCTAATGATGAAATATTTCAATTACCCCATTAAACAAAAATGGTTTCCGGTTATGATCGCACCGATAAAAGCTACACCGCAGCCTTTGATATGGAAAGACCATTCTTGCGGCTGAAACGGAAGAGCTGTGTTTTAAGCCTATCACCGGCCCTATTGGTAACTCTCGTTCTACTGTGTGCTTGTTGGGATGTGTACCGCTTTTCCGCGTGTCGTATATGTCAGTATAATTTCCATCGGTGCAACGACTAGTGGACATCATTGGAAATGATCACCGATGGAAATTATACTGACACGTTTGAAATGGGTCGATAGTGCTGGCGGCCGAAACGTAAAGAGTCCGCTCATGGCTATCGCCAGCCCTATTGGTAATTCGGAGTGGACATAGCTCAATGACGCTGTGTCCAAGAACCATTTGGAGCACCTTGCAGTGGTTTATAAATGCAGAAAAGCTATGACATGCAGTGAAGTTCGAGATTTCACAGGAGACGGCCGGAAGGTAAATGGAAATGCTTGGCTAAATAGGTAATATGTGGAGTGGCGCTGCCTGCCGAGACCTAGGCAGAGGAATGGCTCAGAAAGAGTTGTGGCGCACACTCATTTTTCATTTAATTTTGTCATTGGTTGCCATAGGGTAAATCTCAACAATCTTGGAAGGGGGGGGGGGGTGCCATGAAACGTAGAGATCCCACGTTTCTCTGCTTGCAGCGCAAAGGGCACGTGATTTATTTTCCCGCCTCAAATGTGATGCCTCCTCTCTCATGTCATGCGTAACTATTACACTGGATTTTTTAGACAAACACACGCTTCATGGCATTCACATAAAGCTTAATGCGAACCTTGTGTCATGCTCACAGGCGGGTAGGTATTGCGTTGGCCTGAACGTACGCTGAACAACTGGGCACTTGGCACGCTGCTCCTATTTGCCCAGTTAGCAGCACTGGTCGCCGGGAATAACCCGCCAACAAGAATGCATGAATTATCATTTAGACAGTTTCGGAATAATGTCGGCTAGTGATTTCACTGATGAAAACTAAACTGACACACTTGAAATCGGCAGATGATACTGACAGCCGAATCGTAGAGTCCGCTCATACCCATCACCGGCCCTATTGTTAACTCTGCTCCTCTTGTGTGCTCGCTGGGATGTGTGTTTCGCTTCATCGTGTCATATGTGACCATTGGACTTGATTTTTTAGGTAAACATACCTTTCATGGTAAATGCATTTAGCCGCATACACACCGTGTTTCACGCTCGAAGGTTCGTGTGGGTAGAGCATAGGCCTTAACGCACGCTCTATTTACGTGCCCTGGAAGCCGTGGTACTGCCTGTGAAAAGCTAACCGGGGCTAGAATATTTCAGATGTCATTTAAACAGCTTTACAATGATGTCCACTAGTCGTTGCACAGACGGAAATTATACTGACACGTTTGAAATGGGTAGATAGTGTTGGCGGTCGAAACGTAGAGTCCGCTCATGGCTATCACCGGCCCTATTGGTTACTCGGAGCGGAAATAGCTCAATAGCGTTGTGTCCAGGAACCATTTGGAGCACCTTGCAGTGGTTTATAAATGCAGAAAAGCTATGCCATGCAGTGAAATTCGAGATTTTACAGGAGACGGCCGGAGGGTAAATGGAAATGCTTGGCTGGAAAGGTGATATGTGGAGTGGCGCTGCCTGCCGAGACCTGGGCAGAGAAATGGCTCAGAAAGAGGTGTCGCCCATATTCGTTTTGCATTTAATTTTTCATTGGCTGCCAGGGAGTAAACCTCAACAATCCTGGAAGGGGGGCGGAGGCGGGTGCAATGAAACGCAGAGATCCCACGTTTATACGCGTGCAGCACAAAAGGCACAACGCGATCGATTTCCCCGTCCCAAATGTCATGGCTTCTCTCTCATTTCATGCGTGACTATTACACTAGATTTTTTAAACAAACACACGTCTCATGACATTCACATATAGCTGCATGCGAACCTTGTGTCATGCTCACAGGCTTGTAGGTATTGCGTCGGCCTGAGCGTACGCTGTGGGTTTGTGCCTAATAGCCAGTGTTTGTCCGCGGTAGTGATCTGCCGAGCGATGTATAGTGCGTTTGTTCTCTACACCTTTTTTAAAGTGATTTCAAAATCATTCAACATTTCAGTATTATTCAGCTCTGCGAATTAATTATTTCTCTTGTTTATTAATGTTTACGGCCACCCATTAAATAATGAAATGTACATGGATGTTAACGTACCCATTAGTATAGCAGTGGCATGTAGCGATATATATATATATATATATATATATATATATATATATATATATATATATATATATATACGTATGTA